CTATAATAGAATAATAAAAAAATGTTAGTTAACATTTTTTTAAAAGTTTCAAAAAATAATTTTCGAAACTTATCTATGGGATTCGTTATAACCGATTCCCTATAATAGTGTATTAGAAAAAAAACGTTAAAAACGTTTTTTAATAGTTTCGAAAAAGAATTTTTTGAAACTCACCTATATGATTCGTTATAACCGATTCCCTACAATTGAATAATAAAAAAAATGAGTTTCGAAAAATTATTTTTCAAAACTCACCTATGGGATTCGTTATAACCGATTCCCTATAATTGTATATTAAAAAAAAAGAGGTTTGAAATTTTTTTTTGAAACTCACCTATGGGATTCGTTGTAACTGATTCCCTATAATAGTGTATTAGAAAAAAAATGTTAAAAACGTTTTTTAATAGTTTTGAAAAAGAATTTTTCTCTTATTTTTATTTTTCATTAAATATTTAGCTGCTTTAAAAGATATGAAAAGTAAAATTGATTATTTTTACAAAAAGCACAAAAAACAAGTATTGTTAGATAATTGGATTAGCAACAAGATTTGTTAAACGTAAAATATGTAACAATTTTTATAGTATAATAACATCATGATATTGGTTAAAGTAATTTATTAATATTTATTATTAGCACTTATAAAATATAAGGTATGTTGGTAAAATGCATTTGAGTATTTACTTAAAATACTAATAAAATGCTTAATAAATTAAATGATTAATAAATATTAAAATTTAGTACTTATTTAATATATTAAGCATTTATAACTTAATAAATATAAAATTTTAATGCTTATTAAATATTGCTATTCAGTAAACATAAGGTTTCAGTTGGTCTAACATCGTGATGAAAGTCACATGATTTTAATCTTAATATAACGAAGGTTTCTAAAAAAATATATAAATTTCAGTATATAAAAAAATTTGATATACTGAAGATCACTATATACTGAAGTTTTAGTCTTAAATGGTGACTTTGATATATCGAAAGTTGACTGTAGAATGAAATGGTAATAAAAAAAGAATAATAGAAGACAAAATAACAAATTAACAATGAAAAGGAAAGTATAAAATAAAAAGATAAAGAAAAGCAATATAGAATGAAATAATGATAGAAAAAAAATGATATAAGATGAAATGGTAATAAAAGGAAATAATAAAGTGATATAAAATGAAATGGTAATAAAAGGAATGGTATAAAATAAAATAATAATAATAAAGTAATTACAAAACGAAATAGTAATGGAAAAAGAACACAATTCAGATAAAATAGCAATGAAAAAAAATAGTATATATGGAATGAAATGATGATAAAAAGCAATATAGAATAAAATTATGATAAAAAAAAATGATTGGTGACTAAAGAAATGATATAAAATGAAATGATAATAAAAATATGATATAGAACCAAATGGGAATAGAAAAAAATGATAAAGACAAAATGGTGATGAAAGGAATAAAATGATGATATAGAACAAAATTGTAATAAAAAAATAATATAGTATGAAATAGAAATGAAAAAATAATGTGAAAGAAATAAAGATGGAAAAAGAATGATAGAAGACAAATGAAATAGTGATGGGAAAAAATAATAGAAAATGAAATGATAATAAAAAAAATAGTAAGTATGATAGAAAAAAAAAAAAAAAATAAAGTCTGAAAAAGAAGTGAAAGTTAACTAAAAAAAAGAAAAATAGTTAATTAAAGAAAATTAAGTTCCAATTCCAAAAAACCAAAAATAAATTTACTATTTACAAGAATATTGGTACTAAAGTTTTAAAGTTGTTAAAATGTGAAAAGAACTATTTACAAAAAATAACAAAGTAATGAAATAAAATAAATAGAAGTAAAAGTGTCAAAATGGAATGAAATAGAGGTGAAAGTGAAGTGAAAGTAGAAGTAACAAAGTGAAGAATGAATAGTTAATACTAATGAAAAAAAAAGATATATATAACATTAAAAAATATGTATAAAATAAACTAATAAATATGATGAGTAATACAATACAAATAAAAACATATAAAATATAGTAAATTATTAAAAAAATTTATAAAATAAAAAGGGTTTTATTTTTTATTGCATTTGTGTTATATTACACTACTTACTTCTAATAGAGATTACTCATAAGCCTAAAGTAAAAATTATATAGAATAATTAAGCAAGAATTTATAAGGTAAAATTCTTTATAAATTAAAAAAAGCAAATGTAATTTCATGGTAAGTTTTTTTTATGTAACTATTAAATATATAATAAAATTAAATAGGATTTTAAAATGTAACTTGTAATTATAAGGTAAAATTTATGATTTCATAAATTTTATTAGTATATATTATTTTTAATATAGTTTATTATACAGACATATATAATTTTATTATACAAATATATAAAATTTAAACAAATTAGAAATAATTTTATCAGATATGTTTCTAGTAAATGTATCATCTACATCCCAATTTAAGTTACAACTTATGATTATTTCTATTTTTGCAACAAGATATTGAATTAATATTCTAATTTATATAGAAAATGTAGTAGTAAAAATTTTGATTATTATAGAATTACTAATGAAACATCATGTGAGATCTTGAGAGAAACCATCTATCCATTATGCAAATTAGGTTATAATAACAAAAAAATAGAAGATAGGTATAAAGCTAAGTCTTACTTTATTAAATGTAAATAATATGAAATTAAGATAACTGCATAGTAGTTTTTTCTGCTTTATGAGCATGAGAGATGATCTAACTATTTTTTTAAAAGTATAATAAGAAATTGATAAGAAAAAAAAAGGATTTAAATTGATTTGCAATTATATAAAACAGCAATATAACCAAGTTCAATAAAATAATAACTCCTGAATATCTGGATTAACATGCTAAATTAAGTGAGTTACAAATGTCTTAACAGATAAGATTTGTACAAAAGATATAAAAAAAAACTGAAAATGAACCATAGCAATCATAATAAGTATATTAAAAAAACTTTTAAGTTTTTGATTTCAAGTCTATTACTTTCAAAGCCAAATCTGATTCAAAGTTAATTATCAAATCCATATTAGAGGCTTAAAGCATTTATTATACTTGAAATTCTGAAATAGCTTTAGAGGGATTGATAATTATAATTTGCACCATACCCTATTTGTGGTAGAAAATATAAGAATAATGGATTACAGTCAGACCTCTATGTACTGATATACTATGTACCAATAATTGCCTGTACCAATAAATTTCTATGTCCCGTTTCATAATTAATAAAAAAACCTCATTGTACTGATATTATATATAGTTTAAGTATCAATACTTTTCTTTGCTCCCAAATGTACTGATACTTTAGGTTACACTGGTATTAATTCTGGTCAACACTATAAATTTGGCCGGAGTTAACATAAAGGTTCCATCCAAATCACATGACATTTTAATATATTAGCTATCCGAAGTTTGCATAATGTGGCAAGATTCGGATAATTTGATATACCGATATATTTTTTCCAAAACAACAGTATCGGTACATAGAGGTTCGACTGTACTTGGTGAATGGTATAGAAATGGAACAGAATATTGTCTTAACTGCAACACTTCAAGCAATAAATTCAAATTCATAGAATAAAATCACCACTGTCAAATCTCAGATTCTCAGTATCTCACGTATCACATGTATCATCTAATTTGTGAGACCTGACATAATAGTTCTAAAGCAGATTTTTTCGTTATACTCTATATTGTGAGATAAAATTCATTTATGGAGTTTATGACACAGCGAGAATTTAAAGGCTGGGAGACTGGCTTGAGCCCCGACAACTTCAACCTCCTTTCAGTTCTAACTTCCGTCGGAGTAAAAAGGACTTCTATTTCGAAAAGTCGATCGAGCATACTGCGATATCCACGTTTGCCTCATATGTTGCAAAAATCTCAGAGGACGAAAAATGGATAAAGGCCGCTACTACTCTCAGTGAAACATTAAAGGTAAATATTTTCCTTAGTATTGTATTAACGAGAGAAGTCGGGCTTTCATGTCGATGCAACCACCTAAGCGGCTTGGCTATCACGTCAGGCTAGTTACGGGGTTTCGTTCTCCGGTGGATTCCATACTTAGGTCCCGGAATATATTTTATTTCGAGTTACACATTTTAACCAACTATTTACATTCTTGTTAGCACCAAGCACAAACGGAGGAAGTTAAAATCTTCTGGCGAAATATTGATCTAAAAAGAAAGGAAATGGAGGTAAATGCGACTATAAAGCAAAAGGAAATAGGAGATGAAACTGGCTACGGTATGTGATATTGTAACATGATAAGAAAAATGACAAAATATTGAGTATATGAAATTTATATGGTTTATAGGCACAATTTGCTGCTAATAATTTCAAAACGGGAAACGATGTACATATGATCCAGAACAGATCACGAACAGAATATGTGTCGAACTTACATGCCACTACCAGTCAAAAAACAGTAGCAAATGGGAGAGTTTTGGAAAGTCAAGGAACGCATAAGACAAATAGGTCTAATTTGCATTCTATAGAACCCACAAGAAAGGTGAGTCCAATTAATGCTTAAAGATAATTACATTGATCTGTCTCATGACTTTTTCTGCATGAAAGAAACCGGCTAGAAAAAGAAAATCAATATGTTATACTGAAAGTTCAGAGGAAGAAGACCATTCATCGGATCAAGACTATACGGAGAAACCGAGAGTAAATAATTTATTTTTCACTGTTTCGCATATTCTGATTCTAATACTATTGAATTTATCAAGAAAAAGGAACCTAGATCAAAGCGATTACGTGAAAAAGCGAACCGTGATGGTATGGACAAAGGTGATATTATCATAAAAACTTCAGAGGATGAAAATACACCAAGTCCGGCTCAACCAACCATGACATCAAATACCTACCTCAGAAGATACTACTTTGTGCGAAATTACTCCAAGTACACCCCAACAAACCCGACGTCATTTGATATCTCAGAAGATTTTTCCACTTCACGTGAGTCTACACCATGTCCAGTAGCTCGACCGTCAAAAATTCCCTGTTTCTTGTGGCGTAAACAGGTCAAGATCACAGGTGAAGGAAATGTGGAGATGACCGACGAGATGACCGAACAAGATTTGACAGAAATAGATCAACTACCATGTGCTACGGTCAATAACGCCCTTAAAAAAATCGTTCAAAGAGAAATACGACAAAATGGAGGATGATTTGAAGTGGAAGCTCTCATGTACGGGGCGTTTCGTAGAGGATGTTATTTACGAGAACGTTTCAGGTTTTACGAGTGAACAGTAAGTATATTGAGTTAATGCTTAAAATTTTTAGTCTTGAATCATCAAGCCTAGCTAGTTCAAATCGAAAAAACCGTAATCATCTCGAAAAAAAATGGGGAGAAGAGGAGACGCGATAATACGAAAATGTTCAGGCGGAATACGACATGAATTTGGAGGTTCGGAAGTTGGCAGTCATTATAAAGGTCAAAATGCCACAAAGTGGCTTAATGAATCCGGTTTAAAGCTACCTAAAATGTTGAGAGATATGTCATTAGTTTGTGCAAGAGTGTGGATTGGGACTTGGAAAAAATGAGCGATATGGAAACGGTAGGATATATTCATGGAGGTATGTTATTATCATTTTTCTTCCAATTATGCCGGATAATTTCTAATTACATATATTTTGCAGGATGATCGTGACTCTGGATCTTCCTGCCGGATATATACAGCGTCTTTTTAAGAGTGACCTGTATAGTATACCGGAAGATATCGAATCTTTCAACAAGGCGTCAGAACTAATAACTGCAGTTTGGAAAAGCAAGATAATATTTACTCTATTTTATTTTATCTATTAGGTTGGTTTGTTGGCTGAATCTAAGTTACCTTACAGAAACAAGTCGTCCGAACCATGGAATTATTACAGGACAATTAAAAAGATTCTAGTAAACATTTGAAAAATGTATCCATACGTAAAAGAAGCAATCGTAATAACAACCAAACTAGCAAGCCTAAAAAAATTCTTCCGGATAATCAAAATACACCAAAAAAGAAATGATTGGATTGGATAAGGGAAATCATCACGTTACGCATTTTTATTTGCGATTATCATCTTATTTCTTATTAGCCGTAATATTGTAAATAATGCCCTGTAAAAAATCTGATCCGTGTTTTATCTTTCCATATTTTTTCCGTGAATGTATCATTTTAATGGAATTTATAGCCTTAAATTATGGAAATTTTCATCTCGCTAACACGGATGTATCATTTTCACGGAATTTTTACGGAAGACACGGAGAAATAATGGAAATATTCGGATAAAAATTTTTTATAGGGATGTAGCATTTAATAAAAAAAAACAATTGCCCTTATCTTTTACGTGTGTATGCCAAATGTGATTTTCGATTTAAAGTGCGTTTGTTGTATCATTTGCATAGAATTTTATAGCCCCGATCCAAGTTGTTCATATTTCGTGTCTGACTCTATGTGACATAAAGCATTTTTTAATTCACTTCAGCGACATCTATCTCAAATTTGAGCGATGATTATATCAAATATGTTGCATCTCAGGTTAAGAAGAATACTAGACAAAATTAAGTTTGTGGCGCAGTATTTCTGTGATACCTAACTGCCGACAAAATTTAGCGATCACGTGACCAATTTTGTCGATCATTCCCAAAAATGGTAAACAGATTTAACGAAAAAAATATATTTTTTTTTGAATAAAACTTACTACAGAAATTTTCTAATTTTAAAATTTATACACTATATCTAAATTTGCTTGCTTTGCAAGTTTACTTAGGCAATAAAGGCAGGTTTTAAATACAGATTTTTGTAAAATTAATTATTTACGAATTATCAATTATCATATAATAAGTCAAAATTTATATCTAAAACATAATTTTCTTATCTAGGTAAATTTGTAGAGCATTCAAAAATATATATACCATGTAAGTTTAAAAAATATATGGCATTTTATTGTTTTATTCTTATTTTTTATTTTTTCGTTAAAATTAATTTATCCATTTTAGGTATAATCAACAAAATTGTTTACATGCAAAATTTTTGTCAATACCACTGGGGTAGTTGTAATACCTGAATTCTGAGATGTAGCCATAATGTAAAATTTAGCACTTTTTATAAATACTATACTGTATATCAAGTATATATACTAATAGATACATTATAGGAAAATTTTTCATTTTTTTTCAGAACTTTACTTTTTCTTAGTGATTTTTAATGACTTAGTGACAAATATAAAGGAAGATACTTGAGCATTCTAAAATTTCAAAATAAGCATATGAGGGTGTCACTAATAAGAGCATTATTAAGAGTGTTATCAAAAAATTTTCATAGTGATAGGATACTAGAGACAAAAAATCTGTCCTAATTTTACATCTTAATATAACTGGAAATATACTGAGCATTTTCTAATATTTTGAATTTTAGAATGTGAAATTGGCATATATATATTGGTAAAAATTAACAAATATGCAATATATAGTTGTAAGATGGAACACTTTTTAGTAACTAAATGGATTAGCCATAGTAATACAAATTGCACTTTCAATCTCAAACATGAAATTGGCATACTTATATTGATATAATAGTATTACAAAATAGTGCACTTTTAGCAATCAAATAAGCTGATCATAGTAATGTAAACTATATCACCAATTCTTTAACCAATAATGAGATTTTTGCATTTTGAATTCTTTAACTCACAGGTTAGTGAAAATTATGATATAGTAAAAATTTGTTTAATTTAGGCCAGTACTATTCTCTAATTTTAGGTTTACATTAAATATAATATTTTAGCATTCAAGTTAGTATAAAAGTGAAATAAAACTGACAAACTAATAAAATATTCAGTTTTATATCAGTTCCATACCAGCTCTAAGGTACGGCCAGATTGTCACTATGGTACTAACTTGGATCCTTGTTTAAAGATCAGCCAGAAATTATGTTATAGTGCCAGCCAAAATTAATCACAGATTTACATCAGCCATCTGTTATCTTTTTTTATACTATTTCAGCATTTTGAATGCAACTAAATAGGTGCACATTCTCAATATAGAACTGGTAATCAAATCAGTATAAAAGGATTAGCATCCTCATTATAGAACCAGGTATTCAAAAAAGACTGGAAAGCCAATATCAGCAATATAAAATTTATCATATAAACAGATTAAAAATAAGAAAAAAGCAATTACTATTAGATCATAATATCACCATTAATTAAAGCACTACCAGTCATTATTAGACTATGAAATCACCACCATATTATACAGAAAAAGATTAAAATAATACTATAAATATAAAGAAGTTACTTAAAGTATACTTTTCGTCAAAATGACAAAATACTAATTAAATTTATTTTGACAGACGTAATGTATTTTGACAGACGTAATTAATTCATAGTAATTTTATAATAAATAGTGAATTGGTCCGTTCGCCGAAATATGACGTAATTAATTAGCGGAGAAGTATAACTTAAAGAATAAACTAAGTATATCATGAAATTACAATCAGATTATGATATTAAGTTATAAAATTACTATTAAATTATATAATTAGGTTATGATATTACCATTATATTATAAAGTTACTGATAGGCTATGAAGTTACCATTATATTATAAAAATACTGGCAACTATTATATTATAAAGATACTAGCAGATTATGAAGACCATTATATTAAGATATCAGTAGATTATGAAGTTACTATTATATTATGAAATTATCAAAGTTATTTTCATATCCCAATTTTAAAAGTCATATATGACTTTATAATATAATTATATTATAAAATCATATATAACTAGTTTTTTTTATTTTGGCTAGATTTTTTTTGGACTTTTTCTTTAAATTTCTTTTTTGGATTTTTTCTTTTAATTTTTTTGGAGATTTTTTTGGAATTTTTTTTTGTATTTGGGTTTTTTTAATTTTTTTTTGGATTTTTTTTTAGATTTCTTTTTGAACTTCTTTTCTTTTAGTTGAGATTTTTTTTTTATATTTTGACTTTATGATTTCATTTTTCTTTATAATTAATTTTGGGTTTACTTTAATTTTAACTATTTATTTATCTTATTTATTTTATCTTTAGTTTTGATTTATTCTAACCTTGTATATTTTATTTTTGACTTCATTTAATTTCATTTTAATTTTATTTAATTTTATTTTTTGTTTATTCCAATTTCAATTATTTTTGACTTTCAGAAGTCTGTAAAAATCATATAAACTGTAATTTGATGTAATGGAATTATAGATTTTTCCATTTTTAATAAATGTATTTAAATTTATTATTTTTTTTTTGTGATTTATTATGGATGAAATCATCTGATTTTAATAAATTTATATATGTGTGAAATCACTTAGGTGATTTCACATAAGGAAATAAATTAGCTACAGTTTTTATAATATTTACAATAGTAATTTTTTATAAAATTTTTAAAGCTTAATTTAATTACTTTACTAAAGTAATATTAATTTTTAATTATATTAATAAATTAAATTTAAAAATCAATATATTTAATTGAATTTTTAGTTTACATCAAACTTTCTAATATGTTTTATTATACATAAAATTATATTATTATTTAGCAAATGATTCTCACTATCCTTTATCATTAATTTTTGCATTTACAGTAAAACTTCTTTAAATTTGAAAGTGATTATATAGAGGTTTTTTATAATCCTTATATAAGTTGATTTTTTCAAAGGTGTAATTATTTAGAGAAATTTTATAAGATGTAAAGGTCTTTAAAATATTTAACATTTATCTGAATTCATTGAAAAATGTATAATCCTATTTTATTTTAAACTCATTTTAAAACAATTCATAATTTTTCTCTTAACTATTCTAACATTTTTCTGCTTTGATTTTAACAAATTCTTTATCCACCATTTTATCAATGCCAATCTTTTCTTGTCCCACTAATTTTTTTAATTCCTTAAATTGATTAATTTTTTCCTCTTTTTTTAAGTTGGTTGCTGTGCCAGCTGTTGATGTTACGTAAAATAATTTTGTATTTAATAATTGATTATTGGGAATTTTATAATCAATTAGACCATAATCATCTTTACTATTATATGATTTAACTAGTTGGTTGTACATAATTTTACCATTCAAACAGATAAACTTTGGTTTAATCTTGGCCATCTTCTCCCATAATTCAATCAACCCTTTATCCATCATTTCACGAGATATGCACTAGAATAAAGATGAAGATCGATAAATAAAATCCTAAAAAAAATTGAACAAATAATATATACTAACAGATGAATGGTTCTCTGTACTTCGTATTAGGTTGCATAAACCGATCTTAAACCTCTCCGGAAGAGTGTAATCCTCTTCCGGAGAAATTTGAACTGGTGTAAAACCTACAAAAAAAAAAATTATTTTATCTACATTTAAAGATTATAAAAAAACAACAATATAATTTTACCTGATTGGTGAAGGGCCAAATAGAAAATATTACTAGGATGAGAGTAATAATGATGTTTTACTGAAGCGTTGTTTCCAGAAATTAAACCTACAAACACCACTTTATGACAAAAAAAAAACAAATATTATATATGTTATATAAAAGTACGGATTAAAAATACTCTAAGCGTTCATATTTTTCTACCATCTAAATCCGGTTCTAGATAATCAGGTAAAGGTTTTTTCACATTTTCTGTAAGGCTTGCTTCGTTTACTTCTGCTGGTTCCGTTTTAATTTTAATTTCAGAAGACAATAATCCGTAAGGGTTAATACGAGAACTTCGAAGTGTACGCTCTTGAATTTTTGGAATCATTTTTAATCAACTCAATTTTTTTTTCTCTCGAAAAAAGAATTGATATTGATCTAATCCGTGATAAATCAATTGACCTTATCAACCAATGAGAATTGAACATCAAAAAATTCAAAGAATGTTGAAATTGTGATAATTTAACATTATTAGAAAGTTGGATCTCTGTCATTTCCTGAATCAGTAAAACTTAAAATTCGTAGATTATCGGATGTATTTAAAATTTAATGTTATAATAATAATTGTACGCGTAAAAAATTTTTATTCTTTAAACAAATATACCATAAAACAAACCCTGTTTACCAAGCCTCAAGAGATTAAAGATGGAGAGTTGTTAACCACTTTTAATTCGTCAAACATTCATGTTCTCCTTTTGCTAGCTTGGACATTCTCCTTGATTGATGAAAAACTGAAAAACTCTACTCTCTGCTTCCCGTGTCGATACTGCCATTTATATTTCGTTGTTGGTCCTCATTACGTCAGCAGGTTTCAAATTTCAAACCGATTCGTATTACGTAATAGAGTAGTTACCCCCTATATTAAATCACTTGCGTCAGTGTTTAAAAGAAAATCATAACAAATCCTCAAGTAAAATTGCCCTCTTTATATGTAATTTATCTAATTTTAGTAATAATTTGTGCACATTTTTATTTTATAGAAACGAATTTTTATAAAGTTATGTACATAACAGATGGCATCATTATATATGCTAATTCCGACCAATGAGAATGCAGAAATCGAAAGTAAATTTATTGATTTTAATTAAATAATCAAATGCATACACTAAAAAAAAAAAAGAATTCTTTAAGTCTTCATATCAATATTACAATAAAATTAAATGTAAATGTGACAAATTAGATGCGATAAAGATCGTAAATGCTAATGAATAAAATTTTTTTATATCTAAGTTCTATTTAATATAAAAAAGTAAATAAAAGTTTATATTTTAAATAACCATGAAATAACCCAAAATAAAAAGTACGAAAGATAATAAATAATTATTGTTATTTATATGAGAAATAGCACTCGATGTTGTAGTGGCTGTAGGGCTCGTGGCAACAACGGATGAAGGTTCAAGGTTTTGAGTTCCATCGGCGACAACAGAATTTGTATCAGTCGTAGAACCTGCTGTAGTATCAGTCGTAGAACCGGTTGTAGTATCAGTCGTAGAACCGGTTGTAGTATTAGTCGTAGAACCGGTTGTAGTATCAGTAGTACCAGTATTTGTACTTTCAAGGTAAGGTTGTGTGTCGCCTACACATTGAGCTACTGGTTTAATGGTAAATCCAGCACCTTGTACAATTGGTACAACTAATGGACCTTGTTCAGCAGATGGTTTATATAAATCATGTTCCAATGATATATGTCCTGTAGGATCATCTTCCTTAACCCATTCAGTAAAATTTCCTTCAACCCAAGAAACTTGAAAATTCTTGTCTTCTCCAGACATCCAGTCATTTGTATCTTTATCCCAAATGACAATTTTATAACCAAGTTGAGATAAAATTGATCTTACACGATCGTCAACATCTCCATAAGGAGGTCTCATATATTTTGGTGTAACACCAATAGCTGTTTTAATTGCCAATTCTGTCCATTTGATTTCCGCGATAATTTCCTCATTAGATTGAGTTGTAAGAGCAGTGTGAGACCAAGTATGTACTCCGATTTGATGACCTAGTTGTTGAAGTTGAATTTTTATAAATAAATATAATATAAAGAAGCATATATGTATATAATGTATATATATATATGACTTACCGGCTGCGAATTCATTTTTCAAGGTATCGGGATTTTCAATTACGCGAGAACCGATAACAAAAAATGTCAGTTTGACATTTTGTGAATTCAAATAATCTAATAAAGGAGGCGTAAATTCTCTAGAATAATAAAAAAAAAAATTTAAAAAAAATTTTAATTTTTTTTTTTTTAGCAAAATAAAAAACTCAGTACATCATTTTTTTTTTAATTCAAATAAAAACTTACGTTGGACCATCATCGAAAGAGAGACCCCAATCTAATTTTAAATATAAAAAAAGTACATTTTTTTTTAATAAAAATTAATTGAAACAATAATTTATCAAAAAAAAAAAAAAAAAAAAATATTAACCAGTTTTTCCTGGACATTGGATAATATCAGTTGTATTAGTACGAACACATGTAGTACAACTCCAGTTACAAAAATTATCAGTTGCTCCACAATCTCCTGCAACTTTTGATATAGGAGCTTTCGGAACTTGTGACATATCGACTAATTTAGTCCATTCACCATTAACTGGTGGAGGTTTATCAACTGGTGGCCAATTTCCTGGTAACTGGGCATTAACAAAAGCCAAAAATGATAACACGAGAGCGAAAATGTAAAGAAGAGATAACATTTTTAAAAAAGAAATAATATTCTTGAGATTATGTTAAAAAACAAGGAAATTGTATTGACAGTTTTGAGAAACTTTTGAGGCCTTTTATATCTTTTTTAAAGATGAGCGATGACATACAATTTATTAATAAAGAAATTCTTTATATTGCGCCTTTAAATTACCAAATAAAGTTAAATAAATCATTATAGAATGATAATGCGCGTTTTGTGGAAAATAATTAGTAAAGATCTCAGATAAACATCATGTTAATTTAAAAAACATCAAATAAGGTAACAAAAATTTTTTTTTACTTTAGAGGAAAAAATATTTTCACCTATGAATTTGATAATCAATACAATCGGGGCTATTATTCTCATCCACAAATAGAATTTGTATAAATAATTATATATAAATTGATCTTCCGTTTATATTTATATCAGATTAACGAAGAGAATTAATGAAAAATCTAAAACGAGGGATGCCAAGAAAAATGATGAATATTTATGGTTAGCGTATAATTATGATTTGACGTATATGGATTTAAGCAGGAATTTCACCCTTTTTTTTCGAATTTAAACGTAAACAAAGTTAATTATAGATGCCATCGAAACTATATGGCCAAGAAATTTTGCCAAGTTGCCAAGATGTAATTGTTAGCAAATCGTAAAATTAATTTGAATTTTTAAAATATCCGACGAAAAGTTTTAATGGTTATAACGATTTGTTTTTTTGTTTATGAAAAAAAAAAAAACAAAAATTAAAATTAAAAATCGCGTAAATGAATTGGTCAACTACAAGTTTACAAAAAGTTTACAAATAAAAATAAGGCCTTTAAGGTAACCATTTGATCATTTCTCTTTTTAATTTAATTACTGAATGAAAAATAAATAGTATCGTACAAACTATAAAATGCCGATCTCTAAATATAATCAATAGGATCTGTGATGATGCCCAACGGACGTTTTCCCGACATAAAGTTTGTGAAACTTCTATTCTGAATTTTGTCCGACAAAGACTAAAGAACAAGGTTTGCTTTCTACATTCCATATAAGGGAATTTCATACAACACTAATGTTGCGAAAAGTTTATAATTTAAAGTAACTGTTCAACTTATCGATCATAGACCCATAATTACATAATGCTGCATATGTAATTATGTATTCACATCAACTGATTAGATTCTTGTGAAGGACTCACAAATGTTATTATTTTTTTTCTTTATTTACAAATAATTCTCGAAATTACATATATAATATAATACTAATTAGACTAGTTAAACTTTCTTGAACGAAGCACTTCAATACGAACATTCACTCCCTTTATCCGGATGCTTCCTTGATTAAGTGCAGCATTATATCCACTTGCGTCAGCAAAATTAATAAAAGCAAATGGCTTAATATAATTAACAAAGAATTAGTAAAGATATTTTAATATAATTAAATAAATAGATATTTTATTACTAACCGAAACTGGGTCTTTATGATATTCTATAACACGTCCAAAAGCAGTTTCAATATGATCAATAAGAACGTTCCTTGTAATTGGCGGTATGATATTTCCAAAAAAGAGTTTGAATCGATCCTTATTAACTATTGATTACATAAAAGAAAATTTAATTTTTTAACGAAAAAGTTCATGTAAAAAAATGTGAACTAATTTTTATTTTTCTGATACCTAAGTCCCTTTGTTCACTTGAAATATGGCATTGATCCGAATTATTACCATTAAGATTAGAAACAGAGTTAATATAGTTGATTCTTTTAAGATTTAGTAATCTTTGATATTCAATAATTTCTTTTTGAGCGAGTAATAATTCATCTTGTGCACTAATAACTTTTGCTCTTAAATTTGAAATGATCTTATCATATTCTTCAATTTGATTATTTTTTTTTTTACATTCAATACATTGATTATAATGATTATTAGATAAGGTTGACATTTTCTTTCTTTTTTTTTTAAAAAGAAAAAAAAAAAAGAAAAGATAAAAATGTGGAAAGGGAAAAAGATTTATACTTGACAGGTACTTGTGATTTATTGTTAAAAATGGAAAGATTTTCATTTACGTATGTTCATCGTTTTCTATTACGGGAAAATTTTAATGTCTTTTTATTTTTCGATTCTAAAGCCTATATATAAAGTCATTCACACTTTTTTGTAGGTGAAGTTATTAAATTATGTATTTTTGGCACCTTTAATACTTGTAAATAAAGAATCTAAAGAAAGTTTTGTGTTTATTTGCCCCATCGAATTTGAATTATTTCAAGTTATTTTTGAATGTAATTTGGAATATATAATAACACTCTTTTATTTACTGTATATCCCCATTCACAAGTACACATCAACGTGTCAAAAACCAAAGATTTAGTATTCATAATGTCAATGAACTTTCAATTTATATTCTTTCAAGATCATCACCCAATAACTGGACGGCGATCTATCTTGTGCCCAATGTCACGATTCACGAACTGAATTAAATTTGTCAATTATTATTAAGTAGAATATATTAAGTAGAACATCAGTTGACTAAACTAGTCAAAATAAATAACATAACATAACCTTTGAATTATCTGGAAGATGATTGTTGATCTTATACAATTTCATATGACGCTATCCTTTATTCTAATATGCGGCGGTAAACTCACTTATGCAATAATGGTAATTAATCCCGATTTCTTTATTAACTTTTGGTAATAAATGATCTGATTGGCCGGATAATATCAAGTCATAACAATACAGTTTAAAAATAAAAATCAGGTATCTAAATAAAATCATCATAATTATTTTCAGGATAATTGTGCACCACATAATTATCCTATCCACATTGAGTAACCTTTCACGATTACTTTAACTGTTTTTTAACTTAGCCGCCTAAAATAATTTTTATAAATCATGGAAAAATCCTTAGTCACACGTATTCTAAATCAATAATCTCTTTCTAGTAATTGTAAAAAATATTCTTTATTATGATTCTAATTTCCTTTGGAAGCTTCATTATATAAACCTCTTAATTTCAAACCAACTTCTCTTCTTCTCCTTCCTTCAACGTATTTCATTAATTCATCATAAGTTTTCGGGACAACTCTCCTTACTTCCATGGCTGGATTATCACAAATAAAGGTGAAATGGAAAACATTTGTTGTGTCACGTTTTCCTCGTTCAATATCTAATACATCCGCCGTTACCTGTTTTAAACCAGTATTAAAATAAATAAATAAATAAATTTATTTTATTGTTAAAAAAAAATGATTTATAAACTTACCGAAACTTGAAAACTTTTATGTGGTGAACCAGGTGCATAAACAATTTGCGAAGACATGCAAAGAATTGAACCAATTGGTACGGGTTTTCTAAACGATATTTCATCTAAAGCTGTAAATTTTGGACGACTCCTCATGAATACCGATGCATTAGCAACTGCGAGCTGAGAAAAAGTAGAGTGTTTTTAAATCAAAATAAAACAGTTTGTTTTAAAAGCGAAGAAGGAAAAAAAAAATATGATTAACCTCAAATGCAAGTTTCATTAAATATCCACCAAATACAAAACCATAAATATTTCGATTCTAAAAAAAAAAGATTTATCGTTAAACAAAAAGTTAAACTAATAGTGTATATAATGTCTATTATGATAATTTGTACCTGTGGTTGCATAAATGTAACTGATTCCATAACAGTTTCGTCCATTCTTATAATATGATCAGGCTTTTCTTTTTTGTCTAAAATTAAGATGTTATTACTTAACAATTGAAAAAAAAGAATATAAATTTCTTTAACATAAATTTAATAAATTTATTTACTACCATATTTGCTATATTCCAGATAACAATTATGAATAAGAAGTTTTTCTTCTTCTGTTGGAGGTAATATAGTAAGAGCCGCAGCAGCAGATGCGTTTTTCTTAACTTTTTGTTCTAATTAAAAGAAACATATTTAATTTATTTATATCTTTAAGTAAGCAAAAAAAAAATTTTTTTTTTAATTCGTACCTTCAGCAATTTGGAATAATTTCTTTTGATAGTCATTTTCTAATTGTAGAGGATTTATTTGTATAGAACGGTTCGTATATGGGTCTCTTGCAACCATAATAAATCTTGCTATCATTAATGTTTCTCCTTGAACCTTAGTTTCAGGATTAGTTTTCAACTTTTGGAAAACTCCGTCTTGTAAAGCTTCCATTTTTATTAGCACTAAAAAAGAAAAAATTTTTTAAATTATCCTTTGTCTTTCAAAAAGAAAAAGAAAATTAAAATTACCTTCCATAGAACTATAACCAGCATAAGATATATGGCCTATGATACAAAGAAAAGTGAATTAGGGATAAAGATGACATTATATGTTATTAATTATATATGATTTACTTGCCATTAAGCCTTATATCACATATAGATAATGGCTTTATTAAGTCTAATCTATCAACTGAAGCTGTTACAATAGTCATATCGGAAACATCTTCTTTTCCATTTCCACAATGTTTATAAGCAATAATTGCTGCCAATAAATCCAAATTTTCAAATATTTTACCCATTCTATTAAATAAAAAAAAATTGTGATTTAAAATTTTATATAATAAATTTCCTATTTAACTCTATAATTAAACATTACCTAATACCACCATCTGGATTAACATATTCCTCTAATAAATCAGGATCACTTTTAAATGGTAAAAATTCTTCTACATAAGAATCTGACATTGTTCTTAAATTTAATTTTCTATTAATTGGTGGTTTATTTGGGCGAATTGGTGGTTTTTTTTTGTATATCAAATCATCTATCCAATATGATGGCTTATATATTGACCGCAATTTTTTTTGTGATTGGATTATATAACTGGCTACAGGTTTCTCTAAAACAATAACAATATTATATTATAATTATAAATGTGAATTATTATTATAAAAATGGTATACAATGTATATATTGTATATACCTTTATTTAGCATTAATTTTTCAATGCCTTCTATATCTTTAAAATCACTAATTTTTTCATCGGAAGGATTACTTGAATTTTTAGGATCATCCTTAATCGATGATTTTACAGATGAAATAATTCGATATGGTCTTTTAAACAATAATTGTTTACTAATAGTTGTCCCCTTTGCAATTAACGAAGATTTAGAAATAAGATTACGAAACATAATTTCAAAATATAAATTAAAAAAAGGAACTTAATTTCAAACGAAGACAGAAAAAAAGACTTTTTAAATACCAATCACCGGTAGATGGATAAATGTAATTAGCGGTAAAAATTCACTTAATTACATCATAAACATTACATGTAAACAATTAAACAATTGTAAACCTGATTGATCTTCGGATTCTTGCTATGTAAAAAGATATTATTTTTTATTATTATTTCTTTATACATTTAGTTACAGTATTAAATTTTCTTTAAAAAAAAATTAATTTTATCGGAATTTTAAGATAAAAAGTGAGATTTCAAATTAATAGGAAATTTGACTCCGGTTTGGCCATTATTGATCGTCAGTTATTAGCCAGCCAATCAGTAAAAACGAACCATAATTCTATGGTTGGTCAGATTACGGATAAATTTGAGTTAACCAATAATAAAATCAAGAATTCCCGCTTATTGAAAATTTCTTGATTTGCGAATCAAAATTTTAATTATATAATCAAGTCAAACTTTCACGGAAAAAAAGAAAAAAGTTCTGATGTAACGGATAATGCAGTAATTATCGAAAATCATTCCATCTTGGGATTTATATCTTTTCCGATCTCCGTTATTATATCCTATTTTTAAAAATAGATATCTAGAGTTATCAGCATTTAGAATCACGTGAATTCTTTTTGTATGCTTTATAAGGTCTAAAAAAACTATTCTAAACATCATTTTGCGTTTAAACATACAATGTACATGAAATGTACAAAAGCATTTTCTTCGATAATATTCCAAATTATCTATTGTATACCGTATCACAACATTCGAAACCTCGAAAAAGTACAATTAAAAAAATATGAAACACAAAGGAAATTATAATGAACACAAAATTACAAAATAAATCTAAATATAGGCCGATCTCATTGAAAGGATTTTATAACTTTCAGGAATTACAAAAAATTTATCAGTAAAAAAAAACTTGTTTATGCCTCATAAACCCTTTTTGTGGTCGGCCGAATTCAAGTTTATATAATTACCATATATGAAATTTCATAGTGATTTTCAAGATTACTTTTTTTTTTTTTTTTATATAAATATTTCTTTTTCTTTATTTTTTTTTTTAGAAAAAACATTCAAGAAATTTTTTTATACATGAAAACATGGCAGGAACAATTGATAATCAAGCTTTAGATATATTATTTGCAGAATTTTTTCAAGCACCACCATATTTTATTGCAACTTCAGCTCGTACACAAGAAATACGAGAAAGAGCGATAGATTTAAATACACTTTTAAATGTTTATTCACAAGCAACGTATGTTAATGATGGATTTGAAGTAGAAGATTTTCGTAAATGGTGGAAATCTAGACATCATATGGAATTTAGGGGAGCGAAAAATAATCGACCAATTTCATTTTTAATAATTTATTCTTTATATAATGATTGGAAGGAAGAAATGATGACTGTTTTATGTGATAAGTGTAATGAAAAAAATTTAAACGATAATTTTTGTTTAAATTGTGTTGAAAATGGTAATAAAAGTGCATGTCCAAAATGTTATCCTAATGTTGAAATACCTTTACAGCAATATTGTATTGGACATTGGTTACAAAAAGGTGAATGGACATCTAATAATAAATTATTAGATGAATGTATTCGTTCTACTCAAATTAAGCATGAATCTGATCATATTTATGGGGAGGTTACCGTACCACCATCTATTCGACGTCATAGAAGTCATTCTGGGAGGTCGTCTTCATTAAGAGACAGTGAATTAAAATTTCGTGAAGTTCGAGCTAGACATGAATTTGTTTCTTTTCCCTCAAATTTTTCGGAATGGATTCCTTTTGAAAAATTTAAAGAAGTCCAAACCATCGGGAAAGGTGTGTTTGGTGTTGTATTTTCAGCTATATGGTCAAATGGTCCTAATTGGAGATGGGATCAAGAATCTAAACAATATTTTAGAGAAGGAGATAAGCAAGTCGCATTAAAAAGATTATTTAATTCAGATAAAGATATTTCAGCATTAATACAAGAGGTAAGCAAAGTAGAGAGTGTATATATATTACGTTATTTTTTGTAAAAAATATTTTTTTTAAAAAATTTTTAACTTTTTATAGGTACAAACACATATACGATTTTCAGGGGAGAAAAATATTCCAAGATGTTATGGAATCACAAAAGATCCATCATCAGGGGATTATATGTTAATTTTAGAGTACGCAACAAAAGGAGATTTGCATAATTATTTAAAACGTAACGATAAAAATTTAACGTGGAAATCAAGATTAGAAACACTTTTAGAAATAATTGAAGGTTTACATAAAATTCATTTAGAAGGATCGTTTCATAGGAAACTTCATTCAGGTAATATATTGAAAAATGAAACTACTACTTTTATTTCGGATCTTGGAATGTGTTGTCCAGCAGAAATTCCTACCGCGGATTATAATAGTTCTGGTGTCTACGGAGTTTTACCTTACGTAGCTCCTGAATTATTACGAGGAGATCATTATACTAAATCCGCCGATATCTATAGTTTTGGTTTAATTATGTGGGAATTATCAACTTGTGAGAAACCTTTTTCTGATAGAGCTCATGATATACAATTGGCAAGTCAAATTTGTAATGGATTAAGACCGTATAATAATGAAGGAGATAATTCTACACCCAAATGTTATATTAATATAATGAAAAGATGTTGGGAAGCTGATCCTTATAAACGTCCTTTTGCTAGAGAATTGAGAGATATAATTAAACGTTGGTATTTGGGTGAAAATAATTCTTTAGAATTCGAAGAAGCAGAAAAAATTCGTCAAATCAAAAATACTTTTGAAAAACCCGCATCACATCCTGATGCAATTTATCAAACTAGATTTTTAAGTTTTACAGATTTACCCGAACCAAGAATTTAGTTAATAATTTTTATATACATTATTATACATTATATACATTTTATACATTTTGAAAAAAAAAAAATTCATCATTATTTTGTATTTTATTTATTTAGAAATTATTTTATTATATAAAAGGAATAATTAAAAAAGGTATTTTAATGGAATTGAGATTGATATTTAATATATTTAATTATAAATCATATATAAAAGCAATAAATTAAAATTATTTATTTATATTATTTATATTACACGCATAATTATCACAGCATATAGATGCGACTTTATAGAACATCGTGAATTATATGACACGAAACAATTTTTTACGCAGCCAATTATTTTTTTTTCATCCATGATTTTCCAATATAAAATGTTTAATTTCAACTTCATTATCTAATTTAATATTACTAGTAAATATTCCCCCACAATGAATTTTAATTTTAACTTTATGACTAACAATAATATGTTTTCTATCATTTATATCCCAACAAGGATTTTTTTTATTTTTTTCAATCCACTCAGGAATTTCTAATTCAGTTTGTAATTTAACTTCATCATTATAATTTGAATAAATTTCTTCTCTTTTAATATTTTTTTCTACTATATAAAATGATGATTTTTTGGAATTTGCTTTAGTTGATAATTTGTGATATTCTTTAATACCAAAAAATATTTTCGTAATTTTAAAATCTTGATTATAAAATTTCAATATAGAATTTATAATAAAAGGTATTTTTGGACCTCCAATAGAATTTTCCAATGTAATATTATACCCTAATCCACGGGATATAGCTTCAGAATCATTAAATTGATACCAATTAAATGGATTTAAATCAGTTGGAGGAAGAAAATATTTATCAAGATTAATGGATAATTCAACACATTTTTCAGATCTTTTAAATTTCCATAAATTTCCTTTACGACTAATATTAGCAATTAATTTATAATTGATTTTCCCTTCACCTTGATCAATTTTAATTGAAGGTGGTAAATTCTCTGGCAATTTAATTTCAAAAGGTATATCCATAATTTGAATTTTTTCATAATCTCCATTAGGATCTGATGTCTTCCATAATTGTAATGGTTGATTTAAAAATACGTCATTTGCACTATATGTTATAGTTGTTTTCCCATAAGTCTCTACCCATTCAACCTTTTCGTATCCTTTTAAAATGAGCTCAATTTTAGTTGCTAATAAAGGTTTTGATGAAGAAAATTTTATGTGTAAAGTTCCAGCAATTGAAACATCCGCATCTATTCCATAATATCCTGTTTGAAAATGATTTTGGTTTCCTGGATATGAAAAACATACTTTTTCACTTCTTTTTTTATAATCTGATTTTGATGGAACATTTTCAATAAGTTCTTTCATTATAAAGAAAAGAGAAAAATGTTCAGGTTAATAATAAATAATTACGATAAAAAAAAAAAAGTAAAAGTTGTTTATTATGTGTAATTATGCGTGAAAAGAAGTGGGCCTTTTATCTCGAAACCTTTTTTTTTTTAATATTCAAATTTAGTTAGATGAGAAATAACGATCACGAAATTTACCAAATACAGGCATACAATAATCTTTTAAAACTTGAAAGAAATAAATGACATAATCGATCCTAAATGTCGCATTGGTTTTTTTTTAATCATTATTTTGGTAATGAATTTACGCCATTCAGTCATTCATCTAAAAGACAACTTTTTTGTAAAGAAAATTGTATTAATAATATTTTAATTTTCTAAAAAGAAAAAGTTATATACAAATATTAATAAAAATATATGCATGTGCCCTAAATATTATGAAAATTTATTATTTATTAAATTTATATTAATCCAAATAATCAATACAATCAGACTTTACTGAGATTTTTACTGACCCGGGTATGATACAAAATACAAAATTATATAATACTCGTGTGAGACTGTGAGGTACCGGGTATTTTAGGTGGTGGAATATTAATCACATGTATCAATTGTATCACGTATCTAGAGTACAATTCCATCATCCGCATGACATCCATCGAAAATTCTAAAGTAACGACAAAGGTATCATAAAATATATAAAATATTTATTTTACTATAAGGAAAAACTTACATGATGTATATGATGTATTCTTTGAAGGTATCATCATTTATTAAAGCAAATTTCCCCTGAATATTATCTTTAATAATAGCAGATAATAATATTTATCAAGTACGTCATTTAATTCATTCGGAGTAACCTTGGGAAATTATAATCTTACATCATTTTGCAATTTTACGTAATTTAAACAGTATATTTGATACCCTTAATTATAAATTAACACATTTGTTAATTACTGATCTAGCAATTGATAAAACTAAGGAAGACTCTTATAAGCTTTCATTCATTTGGAGAATAAACTTAATTAAAAGTAAACACTAATGTATATAAACGCGTTTGGAAAATCGTGGAAAATGTATTTAAGAACTCCTTTTTCATTAATTGTAATTTCTTTACCATATATTTTAAACTCTCAAGGTATTGATGAATAGTTTTTTATGTTTAAAGATGTCTAAAACTCATTTTATTTTAGTTTTTAGAATTATTGTTCGTGGAAATTTTCAAGCTCATCATGCTAATATTCCACAAAAAAAACGTCATTGGCCAGCACGATGATGATCGCGTATCATGAACAAGGTCATAACAAACGATTAGCAGCTGATAAATTTGAGATTTCGCCGAAACAACTTTGTCGATGGTTGAAAAATAAAGAACAGCTTATGATGGTGGCTCCTTATACTAAAAAGATTGTTTCTGCACAGCCAAAATATCTCCGAACTTTTGGAATGGTTTAAAGAGTCTCGAAGTTGATTGAAAAAAATTTCTTGTAATATGATTCAAGCAAAAGCACGTCCTTTAGCCAAAAGACCAGTATATGAAACATTGTATCCATCTATAAAAGAAGGAAAGTTTTCTCGAAAATGGGTCGATGATTTTATATCTCGTCATAATTTGGTTGACAGAAGAAAAATAACAGTTGCTCAATGGCAACAAAATGATTTTTTATCATGTGCTTTTTCGTATAAAGAACGTCAATATCCATTAACTTTAATATGGATGAAACACCGCTTGCATTTAATTTTCTAAGCAATACAACAGTTGAACAACGTGGTACTAGGACTATTTCAACTTTATCAACTGGGTATGAATATGCAAATTTTACTGTTGTCTTAGCTTGTAAGGCTGATGGAATAAAATTGTTACCAGTAATTATTTTTAAACTTGTAATCATTCCGCGAAGAGAGTTTCCTGATGGAGTGGTGGAGTAATTATTCGTGCTAATCCAAAAGGTTGGATGAATGAAGATGAGATGATTTGGTGGATAGAAAATGTTTGGACACAACGTGCAAGACGGGACATCAATCCAAGATCTCTTTTAGTATTGGATTCTTTTACTGCACATAAAAACAAATACTGTCATTCCAGGTGGATTAACTTCTCGCTTGCAACCACTTGATGTATCATTGAATAAACTATTTAAAGATAAGGTTATTTTCCTTATTTAATTTTTTAATATTTAAATAAATTATATTAACTTGCATTGTTTGAAATAAAAATAGATGCATCATTATTATTACCATTAGATGAGTGAAGAAATCAAAGAATATAAATCAACTGAAAAGATTAAAAAACCGTCTTATTCACTTGTGGCAAACTGGGTAAAGGAAAGTTGGGATGCTGTTGATATTAATATTATTTATTAGGCGTTCGTTAAATTTTGTGGAACTTCAAATGCAATAAATGGGTCAGAAGATAGTTTAATTTTCAATTTCAATTTCAATAAATAAAATACATAAGTGGTCGTGTGAGAGGAATTGAAGAGGATGGCGAAAATTATGATGAAAGTAGTAATTATGAACCAGATGATAACAGTAGGCCAGTTCATAATTGTTCGATCGGCATTTTTGATCGGGTTACACTAAAATTGTGACAAATAAAATTCACCTCGAGAACGATCAACTAGCCGATTTTTTGACCCACCAAAAACGTAGATCGCTATGATCGAGTTGATAAAATAACAGTCACTGGAAATGTCACAATAAAAAAAGGCAAATTTTTTTTATTAAGGTCGAGAAAAAAAAATTTATGGCGCAGTACCCTCTTCAAATGTATAATACAAATATATAATTAAAGTTGGCCAAAATTAATTAAATCTGGTTAAATTTGCCGATCAACAATTTATAATTCTGGCCAAATTTTTGTTAATTCTGGCCAATTCCGTAATGCCGGCCTAAATTCCGTTAAATTAAAAAAAATTAAATCATATGTAACACCAAATTTACACAATATGATCGATCTAAATTAAATAATAAAAAACGAACATATTGACCGCTTCTATAACCTTATTAAAAAAAATCTCTCATACTCTTTGTTATTCAACTTTAATCTTCGCTGGAAGTTGTTGTATTTTTGATATTAAAAATAATAAAAGGTAAGAAAAACTTGAAATTTACCAAAGATAACAAGAAATTTAAAGTTTTAAACAAAAACTAGTAAAATATAACGTGTTTTTTTCTTAAAAAAAAAATTTTTTTTTTAGATTTATATAATGGATTTAGAGAAAAGCTTAGAATATGAGAATTTAGAGGAAAGTTTAACGGATAAGAATGAAACTTTTTATAGTGAATATGATGAAAATGAGAGTTTCGATAATGTAGAGGAAAATGAATCTTTAAAATCTTTATTTGAATTAGATTTTAATATGCTTACAAATGCAAAAAAATTAGTTCAACAAAATATTTCAGAGGAAGAAGACAATTGGGAGAATCTGAGTGATATAGGAAGTAATTTTTCTGAGACAGAATCTGATGATGAGCGTGATGAAATAATTACTAAAGTACCAAATAATGAAAATTTAACTCTATGCGTTATAATTGATATGTTAGATGGTAAAATTCAGCGGTGCAACTCTAAAAAAAAATTGAGACGACTTTGGCAAATGATTGGAATTTGGCAAATTGACAATGAAGAAGTTAAAGCAAAAAATTTTTTAATTGAAAATTTAGGTGTTTGTTATTCGCATTTTTTATATGATCAAAATCAATTGCATTCATCAAATTAAAACAAACTAAAGATTATATGGAAAGTATTATTCATAGACGCAGATGTTTATTTTGTAATAAAAATAAAATTTTTTTTAGTCGTGGTCCTAATTGTGAAAATCACTCATATAAAGTTATAGGTAAAAATATTCAGGTACCTTGTATAGGGCAAATGAAATGTGATGCATTGCAAACATACCATTCTTTTGTAATTCCAACAAATTCAAGTAAACATGCACGATATATATGTATGAATTGTTATGAAGAAAAGGGTGGGCATATTTATCAACGTGTTGGATAAGGTATAAAAAAAAATCCAAATTGTGATAACCTGTCACATCATAAAAATGATACCAAAAAGGCATTAGAAGTAATTGGATATTGGATTCTTAATATTGCTAATTCTGATAATTTAGCATTTCAAGAAAAAATTTTAGCACATTTAGCTCCTATTTTATGTATTATTAATACTCAAGAAAAATCTGAGACTACATCATCAACGCTACTATCAGTACAAAATATAAAAAATGAAGTACCTTCTTTATTTATAATTCTTATTATTCTTATTTTAGTCAAATTTAATTACAATTTTGATA